AAGAATTCATTAGGATCTTGAGCAGAAAAGGTTAAAATAATAATAATGTTTACATGAGGGGGGTACTTTAGTACCATGTTCCACAGAAAGTCTATTCTTAGAAACAATTGTTTAAAAAGGAAAAAAAAAAACAAAAACAAAGGTTTAATAGCTCTGGGACTCTGGGATAAAAATGAACACTGGTAGACATAACAATAATCTACTTTTATTTTTTTCCAAATACATCTCTGTGCATCCTTTCATCCTCAGGTACTTTCCACTCCCTCTGAAGAGTAGAGTAGAGTGGAAAGCCACATGTGACAAGATGTACATGCCACAAATGAGATGCCGAAGGGGCAGGCTTAAAATGAAAGGTGTAGTAGGAGAGATAAGGGTACAGAAAGCATACATGCTGTCAGGGGCCTTTTATAAATTAAAGAATTGAAAGCAGCTCTTCACTAAGGTCTCCGAGAACTTCAGAGAGACATGAGCTACTTCTCTTTTGGGAACAGATGTAACAAAATGCAGGAATTTCTAAACTTTATCAGAAAAACACACTTTCAATGTTCACAAAGAAAATTCTACAGTTGAATGCTGAATGTCTTTGGCTTTCAATCCTGTCTGGGGAAACTTCTAGAACTTAATTTCAAAATAAAGCTAAATTCATGGACCTTTATAGATGTAAGATATAGCCAAGGCATTCTACTTTCCACCAATGCTTGCTGTATTCAGAGATAGGTCAAACTTTTTTTAACAAGAAAGGAAAAAATACATGAAAAAGGGAAGGACGTTAAAGAAAAGGAACAGGAAGAGGGGAAGGAAGAATACAAGAACACAAAACATGATGTGGATGATCTGTCATGGATTTGTGAGTAGAAAATTTATTGTTCTTGTTGTTTAATCACTAAGTCATGTCTGACTCCTCTGCAACCCCAGGGACTGTGGCCCACCAGGCCCCTCCGTCCATGGGATTCTCCAGGCAAGAATACTGGAGTGGGTTGCCATCTCCTTCTCCACGGGATCTTCCTGACCCCGTGATGGAACTTACGTCTCCTGCATTGACAGGTGGGTTCTTTACCACTAAGCCACTATGAAAGCCTGTAAAATTTATAGAGATTAATACAATAGTATTTGTTAAGTGACAGTTGAAACCCTTGGTATAGCTGATGGTATGAAATAAGAGGACAGTTTTTGCTTCCTGGCCTCAAACATCTTCTAGCAAGAGGGAAAAATCTAACCTACTTCATAGAGAGGACACAGCTTAACTCTGATACCAACTATACATAGAGTAAGATTGGAAGAAGGAGAGGTTGGTACAAGTGACCAAGTTTCTCCATTTGTAAAATTAATAGCAGTAACATAGCCTGTTTTAGAGTATCATTTCAGTGTTTCTGGTAAAGCAATTATCCAAGTACTCCACAGAATAAGCATCTGTTATTATTGTTATAACACATTAAAATTTATAAAAAGATATAAAGTTCCTTGATAAGTGGGGACAAGGCCATGGCAAGAAATTTTACATAAGAAATACAGATTATAGCAACTATGGTATGCTACTGAATAGTTACTAAATTATCAATGGGATAAAAACTACACAACTTTTCAGCTATGATTAAATTGGTCATTCTGTTGTTAGTTACAAAAACATACAGACTCCTTGGGCAAGCGGTAGGGCTATACATAACAGTCATTAAAACAATTACGGTCTTGTGATTTAATTAAGACATCTAGGCTTAGAATTTCTGTTAAGAAAATGTAAAAGCAAGCAATAGTAGGTTTACTGCAATTATAACTTTTTTAGGATAAACTTGAATCAACTTAAAAATGTAATAAAAGAGGAATGTAGAAATGGCTTGGTGCTTTATAGTACCATCAACATTGTAGGATATCATGTGTTATTAAACATGTTGACTATATCTACAATTTTCAATCTATAAAGCCTTTATAATTTTAATATAAAAGTTGACCAAGGTATATATTACCTGGTGCATATTAGAAATTGTCACAAGAAAAGAAAAGAAAAGTGAGATACTTAATTGAAACACCAACCAGAGAAATAAAAATATTAATAAAAGCAACACTATGTTCTATAGATATCAACTTGCAAAACTGAAATTTTTTAAAGCTATACACCGATGAGAGTGTGGTGAGGGGTGATCTCTGCATTGTGAAGATAATAAGAACTGATGCATTCATTCTGGAGCAAGTCTGGCAGCAGCACTCAATGGATTTATAACTGTATGTGCCTTTACCATCAAGCAGTCCTTTTGTGTTCTTTACTCACTAACTCACGTCTAACTCTTTTGTGACCCAATGGACTATAGCCCACCAGGCTCCTCTGTCTGTGGGATTTTTCAGGCAAGAATACTGGAGTAGATTGCTCTTTCCTTCTCCAAGGGTTCTTTTTAACCCAGGGATTGATCTCATGTCTGCTGCATTGGCAGGCAGATTCTTTACCACTGAGCCATCTTGGGTTTATGCCTCAGAGAGAATTCCTAATATATTTGATTTTTTTTTTTTTGCTGTTTATTTATTTATTTATTTTTCATTTATTTTTATTAGTTGAAGGCTAATTACTTTACAATATTGTAGTGGTTTTTGCCATACATTGACATGAATCAGCCATGGATTTACATGTGTTCCCCATCCTGANAGGCTCCTCTGTCCATGGGGTGTTTTCAGGCAAGAATATAGTTAGTGGGTTGTCATTTCCTCCTCCAGCAGATCTTCCTGACCCAGGGATTGAACCCATGTCTCCCGTGTCTCCTGCATCTCCTGCATTACAGGCAGATTCTTTACTGCTGCGCCACCAGGGAAGCCACTATAACCTGCAAGGCTTCTGCAATTTAGAGCATGTTCACTTACATGCTGGTTTCTAGTATGCCACACATATAGCCAAATAAATATATGGAGACTGGATTTGAGGAGCACACATTCTACAGACGATTGAAGTGAGGAATGGAGATTGAGAATAGAGTAAACACAGCTAGGAGTCTTGCCCAGAAAGATAATACAAGGCCACACACCAAAGAGGATAATCAACTCAATTTGTGCACCTGAGGTTAAAAACAAAAAGAAAGGAAAACTAAAAATTATATAATTTTAAATGAAAAAAAGCTGAAAGAATGCATAATTCCATGTAAGATGATTGAAATAACAATGAAACATAGTACAAACTAACGTTCATATGAATATAAACTAGAACACATAAATGGCATGTAAACTGGTTAAACAAACAAACAAACCAAATACAAAATGGTATACACACTGACTGAAGCTACCTAAAAATGTGTTGTTCATGCGAGCTGGTGAGGGAAAAGGCCTGGTTCTGCTCCTTTAATTTTTCTTGACACCACCTTCGAGGAAAACATTTTACAAGAATGGATCATGGAGGGCTTATGGGCAAGGACACTGTATAAAATTTGCTTGGAATCCCTATTAGGATCTCCTTGTCTTCCTTGCATGAGGCTGGGGTCCAAGACCTACCAAAGCTATCACCTCCTCTTTCCTACCAAGCTCAGGGAAAGGCTGAAGTGGTAACTTTGACAAGCCCTTTTCTATCCTTCTTTGGCTGTGATGTCCACATCACTGGTAAGGTAAGAAAGGGCTTTGGTTTATCCTGGGGAGGCTTATCACTGCACCCTCCACATTCCCTCCACGGGCTAATATACCTGGGACTGAAGTCCAGGGGAAAGTTGGCAGTAGGCTGGGTTAGTCAAAGAATCCCTGCTGCCCTTTCAGAGCTCAACACATTAAGTCAGGTTCTCCACTGGAGCCTGCACTAGATGAGTCTTTGAAAACAGTATTGCATTTGATCTTGTCTCCTGTGTATCTCCCTCCTTGGCCCTTCAAGGGAGGCTGGCTGCAGAGATACTGCAGAAAAGTAGTCTAGGAGAAGGTTGAAGGCCCTGTTTACCCCAGAATAAAGCACAATATTTTAAATGCTCTTCTTTAAAAGAGTTTTTAAAAACACAATATGGGTGGAAAATAGAATTTGTTCTTTAAAACTGAAAGAGTTATTTTAAGTAGTGGAATTATGGATGATAGTTTTCTCCATTTTTACTTATTTTGAATAAATATATACTTACTCCATTATAGCAGGCAAACAATAACATATTTCATTTTCTAATGTTGGCCAGAGTTCCATCCCAGTAATAAACTATATTATACAATTAATAAGTGTCCCATTGTGTAGCTAATTAGTACATTTATCCTTTATGATTTTAATTGTTAATTATATAGTCGTGAATAAATGCTTTGTCTCCCCCTGTGAGTACTTTCTACATACCTTTGCAGTTTGCATTTAACCTAGCACAAAACTAAGTATATCATAAGACTTACATGAGAAATAGAGGACATTCTAAAATAGAGATGTTTACTTCTAAATAGCCCATACATTAAAAAAAAAAATATGTAGCAACTTTGACTACTCTCTTATCAACCCCATTTTTTATTATTAAAGTTTTTCTTCCTGTCACCTAAGGAAATTCTTCCTGCATTGTCTAATTTCTCTCAACCTACTCTGTGTCACTCTCATCTCCAAGTGCAGCAACTTCCAACATTTTATCTAACAGATGATATTATTTTTCTCTCATTTCTTTCTCAAATGATTTTTATTGAGCAACAAATGTATCTCAAATCCTCCATCCTTCAAAAAATTATGCTCTCAATGTATAATAGGAGATTTTTTTATACTGCAAAATCAGTCCCCTCATCCTTTAATCTGTTAATCACAGAAATCAAGACCCACTTTCTTATTTCTTTGCATATTTTTTAAATTTCAAGTTTTAGGGGGTCATGAAGCACCTCATTCATATTCTGTGCAATAAAATAAAATGTAGTGCTTTGTTGGAAAACTACAGTTACATTAAAAATAATGTTGACCTTAGTGATAACAGAGAGGAATATTCTAGTCCTGCACCATAGGGCCTACCTTTATAAACAACAACAGTGACACAAATTGGGGAGATAGAGAACTAGCATAGTTATATAAATGTAAATTAAAAAAAAAAGTTTATTACCTTAGTTTCTTTCCTCCATCTGCAATTTTAGCTTTTTGAAGATAACCTTCTTTTTCAACCATCTGCAAGAAGAATGCATATATTAAAACTGTGACAAACTCATACACCATTATTAGTTTGAATGAATCTATGCTTTCCAACAGTCACTGCAGTGATGGAAGTTTCCAGTCATAGAACTTCATCAATAATGCATATATAGCTTATGGGAAGTGCCTGCAAGATTATAGTCATTACAAGATGTTAAGTATCCAAAAGAAAGATTACAAAGAGTAATGTGAATGATTTGTTGAATAGTGATACACCTTTACTCACACTTCCTTCTGGGCATTGAAGTCACTTGCTTACAAAATTGATTAAAAATGTTAAAACAAAGATAAATTTAATGCCTTCCTTAATTTTACTTATCATCCTTGGAAAAGTTTCTCCTTTTCACCCCTGATTTCTACTTTCCCTTCCATGTACCTGCTGAGGCCAGTGAGAGAAAAAAATTCAATAGAACCAGGTAGCTGGTTAAACTGGAAGAGCATTTTAAACCCTGACATTCCATGCAATTTGTTCAGCTAGCTACCAAGAAATACTGCAGCAGCATTATCTCATTATCTTCCTCCATGCGGTGGGCTTGCTTCCTTTCCTATTTGTATTTATTGGCTTTCACTGTTAATATAACTGCATATTGCTTAAGAGAGATTCAACTATTCCTTATCACTCCACAGAGACTTTTGTGGAGTTCTAGGGCAAATATATACAGAATGTAAGTTGTGATGCAGTGACATCCCAGTCACAGATGGTGACTGCAGCCATGAAATTAAAAGATGTTTACTCCTTGGATGAAAAGTTATGACCAACCTAGACAACATATTAAAAAGTAGAGACATTACTTTACCAATGAAGGCCCATGTATTCAAAGGTATGGTTTTTCCAGTAGTCATGTATGGATGTGAGAGTTGGACTATAAAGAAAGCTGAGTGCCGAAGAATTGATGCTTTTGAACTGTTGTGTTGGAGAAGACTCTTGAGAGTCCCTTGAACAGCAAGGAGATCCAACCAGTCCATTCTAAAGGAGATCAGTCCTGAATATTCATTGGAAGGATTGATGTTGAAGCTGAAACTCCAATCCTTTGGTCACCTGATGTGAAGAACTGACTCATTTGAAAAGACCCTGATGCTGGGAAAGATTGAAGGTGGGAGGAGAAGGGGACAACAGAAGATGAGATGGCTGGATGGCATCACCGACTCAATGGACATGAGTTTGAGTAAACTCAGGCAGTTGGTGATGAACTGGGAGGCCTGGCATGCCTCAGCTCATGGGGTCACAAAGAGTTGGACACAACTGAGCGACTGAACTGAACTGACTCCCATCAAAGTCTGCAATAGATGTTTTAATTTCTTAGTGCCCAGTTTCTACCTTCCTCTGACAGTCCTGCACTCTTCTCATCCCTAGTTCTTACTCTTGCTGCAACTTTTCAATCTTGGTGAGTTGCCAACAACCTTGACCCGTGTCCCATACTATATGCTGAAAGCTTTTAGGAGTCACCTGCCTACAACAAAGGGCCATACCCCTCAGGGTCACCCTACATGCTTTCCTCCTGACTGTAATACTTCACTCCCACCATATTGTCACCACATAAATTTCCAAATATATTGAATCCACTTTAATATGTGTTATGTATCCCTGTTGTCATCCAGTTCTTCCATGTTTCCCCTGCGATCTCTTTTAAACGCCCTTTTCTGAATCTTCGTGTTTCTTGCTGCTGTTATCACTAGCATAGGGCTTGCTGGGTTGTACCTGCACGTGTGCTGTGACTTTCCCTTTCCCATAGGGGTTCCAAGCAGATGGAGTAGTTGCTGCCACCAATAATTACAATAATAAATATCGTTTGAACAAATGAGTGGATAAATGATGAATGAACGGCTGCTTAAATGTTTATCTAAATTTTTATAGGAAACTGGGCAAGCAAACAAACAAGCAAGCAACAACTACAAAAAACAACTATGTGTGCATTACAATAGATTAAAAAAAGAGATATTTGGGAGTGAGCTGTCCCTGGGTCAGGAAGATCTCCTGAAGAAAGAAATGGCTACCCACCCCAGTATTCTTGCCTGGAGAATTCCATGGACAGAGGAGCCTGGCAGGCTACAGGGGGTCCACGGGGTCACACAGAGTCAGACACAACTAACAACTAATACTTTTCCTAAACCACTAAAATTTCATAAGTTAAAAAACTGGCTATTTATAAGACTCACTCTGTTATGAGAGAGTTCTTTTCTGATTTGTTTATTATTATATTCACAATACATAGCATGATACCTAGCTTTAAAAATATATTGGATGAATATATATTTTAATAAATAATGAAGACAATGAAGATTAATGATAATCATAGCATACTATTTTTCACATAACTACATTTCCACAGAATTTCTTTTATTTCAGCATATTTTCCACAAGCCTAGAAGAATCTAAGGAAGCTCTCTTAGATAACTTATAGAATCATGATGTTCAGCGGTGCCTCTTTTGTATTTAGATATGTCTATTCATTTGCTTTAATCACCTTTTGTCCTAATGTATACGGTCTCTTCTTTTAGTGCCAGAAAATCTTCTTTGTATATCCCCTAAATCCATATAACACACTTAGTAACTAACTTTGGGCATGACTAGTTTCTACAAACATTTGGAAGAGAGATGTTTTTAAGAGCAACTAGCATCACAGAAGATGTCCCTTCTTTATGAATGTATATTTAAAAATTTTGTTATGTAACAAATAATAGATGGTTGATGGCTGGATGGCATCACTGACTCACTGGACATGAATTTGAGCAAGCTCTGGGAGTTGGTGGTGGACAGGGAAGCCTGGTGTGCTGTAGTTCATGGGGTCACAAAGAGTCAGACACAACTGAGAGACTGAAGTGAACTGAAGGAATGATAGATAAAATTTAACATTTTATTTAAGATTTCTCCTGATGAAAATAAGTTACCAAAAGACTGGATCTATCTACCAAAAACCTACAAAATCTCTCAACCCATAATAAAATTTTATGCATACATTATTAGCTAAAAATATTGCCTCCCCTCAGGAAAAAAAAAAAATCACTAAAAGGCTACTAGGTGGATATTTAGTTCCCAGAGATGTATTATTGATGACCACTTGTCTCAAAAGAGAAGGAAAATGTGAAAGTAGAAACCTAATACTCTCTTGCAGGGAGAAATCAACATAAGCAGGCTTGGGTTATATACCTTAAAATTCTCTCTCCTTGAATAAGTAATGTTCCTCTATGCACTGGACCTTTTCAGGATACCTGAGATTGAGGCTAGGGGCTGGATTTCTCATGTTAGGCTTCTATAAATGGACATCATTGCCATCAAATAGGCTGAGTCAGTTTTCATGGCTTTTGATCAATGCAATAGAGTTGCTAGGCATGTCCACACAGAGGTCCCAGAGAAAACAGGTAAGGAATCTTCTTTTATATTATCTTCTAAAGTCCAAGTTGCCTTCCTGGTCATTTGGAGACACTAGTAATCCTTCTAGTGTGTACTTTTACCTATTTATTTCTACATTTCATATTTTTACATATCTGTGTATCTGCATACACATTTTACATGTAATTATATACATGTACAACCATCATGAACTATTCCCATGTCTGTTCATTTCTCTCCACTGTTTTTTTCATACTTTATATACAACCTTCTTTCAATACATTTTTAAATAACATTCCCTTCCCCTAAATACCAGTTGCTCTTCTCACAAGGGCACTGCAAAGGCTAATGTTTCTGCTGCATAGTCACTTCAGTCATGTCTGACTCTGTGTGACCCTATGGACTGCAGCCCGCCAGAATCCTCTGTCCATGGGATTCTCTAGGCAAGAGTACTGGAGAGGGTTGCCATGACCTCCTCCAGGGGATCTATCCGACCCAGGGATCAAACCCTTGTCTCCTGCATTGCAGGTGGATTCTTACCGCTAAGCCACTGGGGAAGCCCCACAAAGACTAATAGGACAACCTTAATCTTATTGAGGTTTATATCATTGTGAGATCACTTTTCAAGATATTCCTACTCCTCTTTTGGAGGGACTGGATACCATACTTGCCTCCAGTTACCTCAGAGATGAGAACAGCTTTTGTCCTGGAATAGAAAACTCCAGTCAGATTCCCTATATTGAACGCACTGCATTCAAGTCCCATGCTGAAAAGCGAAGTCTCCATGATGTACACTTAATTACTTTATTACTCCCTGTCATCATATTTTGAAATACTTTTTCATGTTCCAGGCACTAGGAATCACTTATTCCAGGAGGCCCATAGGAGGCAAAAGAAGTATTAGGGCAAACGGAAGATTGCTCTGTATTTTGCATGTGGGTTTATATATGGTACCATATTAATTATTTTAATTACTTATTCCTCTTTTATGTTAATCCCATGGTTTGAATAGACAGTAATCTATAATTTACAGTGGAATATGTTGGTCATCTAGGACCCAGATGGCCTTGCCTCTGGTAATTTACAAAATTAGGTTTAGGCGTGTGTTTCCCTGGTGGGTCAGATGGTTAAGAATCTGCTTGTAATGTGGGAGAACTGGGTTCAGTCCCTGGGTTGGGAAGATATCCTGGAGCAAAGAATGGCTATACATTCCAATAATTTTGCCTGAGAATTCTATGGACAGAGGAGACTGGTGAGGTACAGTCTATGGGGTCACAAAGAGTCAGACACGACTGATCAATTGAAACTTGCATTTTCTTTCACTTTGGGATATCACATGCCAAGTTTCAGGCCAGCTTGAAGTTCTTTAAAGTTGTAGCATTTCCTCAACCACATACTTAAAAACAGCAACCAGTCTTTAGATGCTGAATCTGGCTTCTTGAGCTATTTGTTCAATGTTCCTCAGAAGCCCTATTTAATGTTAAGTGGCAGGAAAGATCAGCAATTTGTCCAGATTGGATGCCAGCCAGTCTGCTAGCAGTGAGGGAGTACTCAGCAGACACAACTGCGCTGAGATACATATGAAAAGGATGAATGGTGGTGGGATATCCAGATAGCACCTGTTTATCAGCCCAAGTTGGAAGCC